CAAAGTGCTTCAAGCTTTAGCCACCTGCTGTTTTCTTTAAGTTCTGCATGTAGCTTATTTTAAATTTTGAGGATTGTTTGTCTCTAGCTTGCCCTGAGCTAGGACTGTTCGGCTGGCTTCCTTCTCTGTTTTGCAGTGTCCCTGGGATGTAGGGAACAGGATCTGCAGGAGAAAATTGGGCAAGCTAGGAGCTCTCCAGAGGGTTGCTAAAAAAGCTTCCCAAACTGCAGAAGTGCTTTCAAGTCTTTCCTAACCTCTTCCTGGACTTGCTGTAGTGTCTCAATGGGAATGAAAGTGGAGTTCAGTACTAGCTTGCAGCTATCTCTTAGATCTGTAGCAGGGGAAAACTTGAGCCTTTTTTACTCTCCCCACGTGTTTGCAGGAATCCTCCTTCCCACCTCCCTCCCTGCTCTTCTCTGAGCTGAAACTGGGCCATCTCCCCCTTAAGCTGTGAGCAGCCCCTGTGCTGGGTGAAAGCCGTGGGCTGCCTCGGGTGCCCCTCTGTCCCCCTGCCCCTCCAAACCCTGTACTTCCTCCAAAACATCACCTGCTGTCCCAGGGCCAGCCCTGCCAGGCCTTTCCTCGCTGGCAGCCAGCCCTTCCCAGAGCAGGAGAGGACGAGGGACTCGCTCCGAGGGGTTTGCAATGTAGGTTAGGCAGGGAAAGCTGCTGAGAGCTGTGACATCAGGGAGGAGGGTGGGAGCAGCCCTCAGATGACGAGTCTATGAGGTTGTGTCTCCGTGCAAGGTACGCGTTGCATTAGTAATGTGTTTGTAGCAAATAACGCGGGGCTAGCATGGGAATGTGGGTCACCACTGCCAGAACTGTGCGAGGAACAGGGAGCTGCTCGTGCTCTGCTGGGAAGCAAACGTATGTTACTGAGGGATGTGTGGTGGGGGGAGATTTAGCTGCAGTCACTGCTCCAACTTGTAAGTAGCAGCTCTCTGTTGTGTGAGTGGATGCTTCCTGCCTGGGGGGGTGCCTGTGGCTGGGAGCTGAGCTGAAATGGTCTTTGAGGAGGGGGCAGTGGGGTGCAGGGGCTTGTGCTCCTGATGTGCAATAGTCACATTATATTGGGGAGCTCCTAGACTTGCTTGCTGATGCTCTCTGTGGTCCTGGCTGTGCCTGGACTATCCGTGCTGCTCCAGCAGGCACAAGGAGGGACGCAGCCGGGCATGGATAACCAAGGATTCCACCGGATCTTCGTGACCTATTTCTGGTTCTGTTGTTCAGTGTGTGCGCTCAGGAAATCTTTGTGCTTCAGGGGAGTAGGGTTTGTTAGTGATAAGGAAAAGCCTGCTTGACTGCTTGTGAGATTTAAACCACAAATTAACCTGGTTTTGAAGGTGGACTTGGGCTGGAGAACGTGGCTCTGAACCTGAATAGAAAGTGATGTGGGATGGGGATATACACATCCTAAAAATGGGGGTATGGTACTTCAGTGCCAGAGACTTTAACCTCAGAGCAAGTCCCTTTAATAAAAAAGCTCTGTTGGAAAAGGCTGCCCTTGGTCGGCAGGGACATGTTGAGTGGCTTCACTTTCAGTAAAGAGGCAGTGGAGCAGAACAGGGCTGGTGGAGGGAGGCATGAACGGGCTTCCAGGCTGGAAGGGGCTACTGCCTAGCTTCAGGTTGTCAAAACAGGCTTGTCCAAGCCCCTTGGAGTGAGTCAGGAACTTGTCCTGCATCCTGTGCTGCTAGTAAATACTTCCAAGGCACTTGGATGTGTTTCCATGGCTTGCCCATGTGCTCTCCAAGACGCCCAAGCTGTAATACCTCCATCTGTGCCTGAGTTATTTCCCCCGAGTCTGGGATCAGAACAGTGGCAGCAAGCTGGCCCTGAGGCCAATCCCAAGCTTGTGGGCCTTCAGATTTGGAGGAAATGGGCTGCATCACCTGATGGAGCTGCAGGCAGCTAGCAGGAGTGAGGTGTTGGTTGGGTTGCTCTGGCAAGAGGCTCCTGAGTGGGGATGGGAACCTTCACTCCTTTACCTACTGCTGCCATGGGCAGCCTGGGGCTTGCCCACCCTCACCTGTGTGCCCTGTGCCAACCTCCTCCCAGGCCTGGGTCCTCCAGTGAGTGTTGTCTGCTCAGAGACAGCAGCAGTGATCCTTCTGCTGTAGCCATGGTACCTGCCCAGCAGCCTGCAAGGCAGACACAGCCCCGAGGCAGGTGTGGGATGACCTTCAGTGGACCTCAGCGAGCCAGGGAGAGCCAGGCTGTCAGGGAAAGGACTATGCCCAGGGGGAGGAGATGGGGCTTGGTCTGTTTGGGTGCTGCCTGCATGCTGTCCCGGCTGGTGGGTGCCTGCTGGGACAGGATCTTGGATTTATTACAGGGCAAAATATGGACAAGGTCAGGGCCTCAGACCAGCCTGATGTTCTAAGTTCTCCCTCTGCATGATTTGTGGACTTTGCTTTAAATACCTTCTTTGCCTTTCTTATCCATTCAGAAACTCTAAACCCATAGCTTTGTTTTTTTGGTTGCTCATCAGAGCTGCCCCCAAATCCCAGATCTGCTGGTGGGGCCACCTCAGGGGCTCTCATGAGCTCACAGGACTCTCTACCTGGCAGATCCAAAGATCCATGTAGGAAGGGCTCTGTTATGGGCTTGTTTGCCTCAAAACTCATTGTCCTACAGAATCCTTGCCCAGGGAGATGGGCTCTGGCAGTTTGTGCTGCCCACTCCTTGGTACGGACCTAGGTAGAAGAGCTAGAGAAGAGAAGAGGATGATAGCTTGCTGGTGTCTGTAAAACCCCTTCTTTTTAGACGGAGAGGGAAACACATTTCTGTGAATGTTTTGATTCTTGCTTTCCTTCCGGTGGCAGAACTGAGGAGTAAAACTGAACCTTGAAATAATTTTGCTATCTACTCCTGAGCAAAACAAGGAACTCCTCTGTACAGGCTGCCCTCCTTGGGCTTCCCTCTGTCTCAGCCTGTGCAGCAGGCAGCAAGCTCAGGGCTTCCTCCCTGTGAAGGGAGAGGTGATGATGATAAGTGGTGGCAACTGCCTACACGGCTAAGCAGCAGGGATGCTCCACGGTGGGAATCCCTGCTTCTGGCACTGGGTATGTGTCCTTGGGCAAGTCTGCTGTGATGTGTGTGTGCTGGCTTACCTCCTGCAGGGCCTGAAAGGTTTCATTCACATCCCTAATTACTCACAGAGTCCTCAATGGAGGGGACAGTGGAGGTGCCAAGTGTGTGACGTATCCCAGTACAACCTCGTCCTTGTAAGCACTCCCCTTGTTCCCCCTGGGGACACGGGTGGCTTGGGAAGGCTTGACAGTGGTGCCTTACTTAGCCCAACTTCCCTTGGCCACCAGAGAGAGTGTCTGTTTTGTGGCACTCATCCCTGTCCTATGAGCTATTGAGGGCTCCTGGTGAGACTGGGAGGCAAGATGTCCTGGTTCCTATAATTTCCTGGTTATTTTGGTATGTGAGTGGCAGGGGGAGGAGGGCGGCAGTGGAGAGAAGAGCAAGGTCAGTGAAGAACAAATGTGCCTCTGTGCACTTGTGATCACGCTGCCAGCTAATCGGCTTCGGTGCTCCAACTTTCCTCACAGAACTCATCAAGCACGGCCGGGAGAGGATAGAACAAACCATCAAGGCCTCGGGCTCCAGGCTCTGCTCGTAGTGAGTACCAAACCCTCCCAGTGGGACGGGAGCCCTTTAACAGCTCAGCCCGATAACCCCTGCGCTGGCTGGGTGGTGGATGGAGCTGGCTGGCACCGGGCAGATGTGGGCAGTGCCTGAAACAGCTGCCAGTATCTGCTGCTGCCTGGCAGCTCCTGCCATGCTCAGCCTGGCTGCACAGGACGGGTTCCTTTGGGATGGCTGGGGGGCTGTGCTTGGTGGTGTGTGGGGGCAGAGAGTGGGAGCACCCACAGGTGAGATGTGGGGTCTTTGGGTCTTTTTGGGAGGAGTAGGGCAGAGGGTGGCTGTAGGGATGAGAGCCTTCAGAGCCACGATGCAGTCAGTGTATGAGAGAGAGTGTGGTGGGGCTGAGGGAGAGTCTAAGCTCTCTGGGACAGGGGAGAAGGGAGCAGAACTATTTTGTTCATGTTATCTCCTTAATTCTGGCTTTTGCAAAGAGCATGGGGGAACCCTAAAAACCAAAGGGAGGAATCCCTGAGGCAAGGCTCACCCATCCACAGTGATGCTCGGGCAGGATGGATCTGAACCAACAAATGTTGAAGTCTGGCTTCTCCAGCCCCAGCAAAAGCTGCACCATGCAGACAAGAGGTCTTTAATGCCTCTGCTCACAGAGCCTGCCCTGGCTGCCATGGCACCATCCCTGCTCCCTGCAATGTCAACAGCCCCAAGCTGCCCTGGTCTGACTTGGCCTGGGGAGTGGCTTCTGGCTGCTGCCAGCCCCATGGACCGTGGTAGCTGGACTCTGCTGGCTGCCCTGTGAGGATACTCACTGGGCTGCAGCATCCCTGTGCAGTGGGGCTGCATCTGCCTCGAGAGGGGTCTGGCCATGGCCAGGAGAGATGTGACTTCACCTGGCCTGGTGCTGTGTTGCTGCTGGGGCTGTGCTGGTTCTCATGTGCTCGTGCAGTTTCTGCTATTGCAGGTCAGGGGTGCTTGTTCACCCAGGATCTCTGCTTCCCCAACCTCCTGTCAGCACATGCTGTTCCCTGCCTCCCCCAGAGTGCAGGCACCCTGTCCTTTGGGGATGGCAGTGCTGGGGAGCTGAGCTGAGCCCTCCTATGACGGAAGGGGTGCACATACTGGGGTTTGCACTAATCCCTGGCAAGTTCATGGAGTGAAGCTGTTTCTCTGTTGGGTTTTTTATTAAACACTGCCTTCTTCTTTTTCCAAGTGCTGAGCGAGTTGTTTTTTTAATGGATCGTTCCCGGAGCCCAGACAAAAGCACCCAGGTGAGATCATGGCTCTGAACAAGCAAATCCTCAACTTTGGGACAAATGGGGCTGGTGCCTTTAGTGGAAAAACAAGGAGAGAGCCTGTCTTAGCCTGCTGGGAGTCTTACTGCTGTCCTGTCCTGTGGGTGATGCTGGGTGGAGAAAAATAGCAGAGGCCCTTTTGGACAAGGCATGATGTTGCCAGAGTCTGGGGAGGGTAAGATTCCTAGGGAACAGGAAGAGGAGGAAGAACATTTGTGTGTGTGTGTCTCTCCTTGTCTTTAGGAAGAGGGAGGCTGTAGCTCTGTGGTGCTGGGTGTGCATAAGGCCATCTAAAGAGACTTTAAATGTTTGCTAAGTGTCTGCTGGGTCTCTTGCTGATGGGTGTTTATTAATGGCTCTGTGTGAGGGATGCTCTGTTGAGGAAGGGAAAACCCAACTTGCAGCATAGTCCTTTTGACTGAAATTCTTATCTTCTCTAGCCTTCAACACCAACTGACAACATCAACCTTGGACCTTCTGCTAACCCCAAGTAAGCTCCCTGCAAAGCCAGGTAGAGTGTGGAGCATGAAGAGATGTGGCAGGGGGATGCAGATGGTCCCTGTGTGTCACACAGTGGTGTCTGCAGGAGTGTGGACAATTACATTTCTTGGCCTTTAACACCACATGTGTCACCGATGCACCAGCTTCCAAGAATAAGCTGTAGCTGGTACTTGTTATAATCATTCTCTCCTGGCCACATCTGCAGCCCCTTGTCCCTTTTCTTTTGAGAGGTAGTAAGGGATGTTCTTCCTCATCACTGCTGGCTTCCTGACTATCTTTCTCTAGAAACAGGGATAAACCGTGTCCCCTGCAGAGGCATCACTTTGTCCTTACAGCTGCTGTCGCTGCTGCTGCCTTCAGCCCCTGGGTTGCTGAGGGGCTGCTCATGCTCTGCAGAGTGCCCTGACACACACAGGGTGACTCCTGGGAGCGAGGGTCACCCACCAGTGCCCTTTAATCCCTTTCACAAACACTCCTTTTTCCAAGCAGGAACTCTGCTTTGATGGTGGTGTTACTGTTGCATGTTCCTCTCCCAGAAACATTAACTTGTTTCATTCTTGCCCAACAGTGCCAAGCCAACAGACTTTGACTTCCTGAAGGTTATTGGCAAAGGAAGCTTTGGAAAAGTAAGTGGGCTTGTGCAGGTGGGCTGTAGCTGCTTGGAAGGAAAATGTGTTGCTGAAAGAGTTTCTGACTGTGTCCTTTGCTTGCACCCCTACTAAGGTGTTTGGATTGAGATTAAATAAGACCTGTGATACTGTTATAAAAGGTCCTTCAACCTCTCCAAGAACTGAAGAGTGATGTGTTTTGTGCTCAGGGTGGTGATGGTAAAGAGCAGTGCTTGATTCAAAATAGATTTCCAACTTCTTCAGTACAAGATCTGCAGAGAAACCTTGGAGACAACCAGGATTCATATTAAATTGGATTGGCCTCAAATGCTCCAAAACTATTTTCTATTGTGTGTCTAGGGGATATGTGTGGAGATATTGAGTGCTTTTCTTCTGGCAATGAAAAACTGCTGGGAACTGAGAGGAGGCTGGAGTTTGGTGTTTAAAACCCTTCACCTGGCCCTCTGAAGTAATTTTCTGTGTATAATCACTCACAAGAGTGTTGAGCTAGTGAGGAAACACTGACCAAGGTGACACAAATAGCTGTGACCAAGACCTTCTCTTGCAGGTTCTCCTGGCCAAACGCAAGTGTGATGGGACATTCTATGCCGTGAAAGTCTTGCATAAGAAAACCATCCTCAAGAAAAAGGAGGTATGTCTGCTCTCCTGGGCTATTCTGGAAATTGTGGTTGGGCTCTCTGGGTAATGTAATTGGGGTTCCGGGTATTCAGGCAGGTAGTTCACATGTTAAACGTGGATTTGCCTGTGCCATGAGAATAAAATAATAGAGATTAATTAGGTCAGATAGGAGGGACTGGTTCTCTTTTAGGGGCTGGGAATGACCCTTGTGAGCTCCCAGCTTCCACCTGTTTTGAAAACAGCCATGAGCCCTTAGAGAAGGCTGGGCTGGGTCCTTGCCTGGAACCTTCATGCCTTGTCTGCTTTCTGATAGCAAAACCACATCATGGCAGAACGCAACGTGCTCCTGAAGAATGTCAAGCACCCCTTCCTTGTGGGACTCCACTATTCCTTCCAGACCTCAGAGAAACTTTACTTTGTGCTTGACTATGTAAATGGAGGAGAGGTGAGTGCACTTATAGACTTTGTTTGAATCCTTTTTAGTCCTTCACAAACATGCTGTTTTATTTAAAACTATTTATTGTCAGAAGATAATGACGTTGAGGCATAATGCTGTTTTGACTGCTGGCAAGGAGCAGCCAAGAATACCTGGCAGGATACCTCACCTGTAACTTGAGTAAAGATCTTGCTGGCTATGTCCTGAGCCAGATGATTCCCAGAGTAAAGATTCTGAGAAAAGCAGTACTGGAGCATCTTAAAATCTTATGGAGAACATGGGAAATATTCGTGAGCTTTAGGGAAATCCTCTTGTGGGCCAGCTCTGGATCCATGTCTAGTGCTTAGGGGTGATGCCATTGCAACTCTAGATTTTATTTCTGTCCTGTAGAAGCTTACCTTTCCCAGCTGTCTTTCTGTGCTATCTGGAACTGGCTGAAACCTTAACTGGCTGTTAAGGTGGATATCTTGCCCAAATAGAGTTCATGTTGGGGACCTTTGTGTGTTCAGCTCTCTGCATGTACCACTCCTCATGGCCATACCACCACTGTAATCAGCCTGTGGGTTGTAGTAAGCTAGGAGCTTAACTAGGTCAGCAGATGAAGGGAAGTTTGAGAATTAATAATTAATTCTTGTGAATGATGATGAGGAGGAGAAATTAAACAATTTCTGGAAAGGTGTTTGGATTGCTTAAATTCACTTGGCTTGGGCTTACTTCATGCTGTTCATGTGCTACCTGCTGCAAATCACTTTTCACTTATGTAGCTGGCTTTCAGCCTTGCTCCAGATTAGCCTTCATTTGTTTAGAGACATGATCAACCCTCTCATCTTCCTATAGCTTTTCTTCCACTTGCAAAGGGAGCGCTGTTTCCGTGAGCCCAGGGCTCGATTCTATGCTGCAGAAGTTGCCAGTGCCATTGGGTACCTGCATTCCCTAAATATCATCTACAGGTAAGGCAGGGGCACCAAGCCTGCCCAGGCTTGGTGGGAGGGAAAGGAATTGGTTTCACGGAGGAAGTGAAATGCTGGTTGGGAGCAACTGAAGATCATCCTATTCCTACTAGACAAAACTGTGCTGCTGGTACTTTACCCTGCAAGAGGGTCTGCACAGGACCTGACAGGCAATAAGTCATTCTTTCCCCTTTCCAGTATTAATCTGAGAGTATTATGTTTAAAGATATAAAATTAACCTAGCTCAGTAAATAAGAAATCATCTCCCAGTAACAACTTAAGCATGGAAATGCAGGCTAACACCTGATACTGTGTGAAAACAACCTATTTATGTTTGCATGTATGTGTACTGATGGGAGTCTGCCATTTGGGAAGGTCTTGGTGACCTGGATTGGGAGGCTTTGTTAGCTCCTGTTCTTAACTGATGCTGTTTCAGATCCATGCTCCCTAAATATCTGGCCAAATCTGCTCAAACAGCACTTTGTCTTGCAGGGACTTAAAGCCTGAGAACATCCTCCTGGACTGCCAGGTATATTCACAGCTTGGGCTTTCTTCTTGCTGGCTCTAAAAACATCAGGACCATAAGCAGAGGGCTGTGCCTCTGCAAGCTGGACTATAACTGATGTGATGGTGTGGATTTTGTCTCTCTGCCCCACCACACTTCTGTGGATGAGTGGGATTACCCTCTGAAGAACTGCTTGGTTTTGGGGCCCTTGGCTTATTCCCAGAAGCTGGGACCTGACCTGTGGGCAGGGATCAGGGGGGTGAAGAGCAGGACACTTCTGCAGCTCTGTGGCAACTGTTACATAAATTGGCTCTGGGATAAAGCAGGAGAAAATCACAGCAGTACTGGATCTGTTCATGGTTATCTAGCTGTAGACAAATAAAAAATAAAAAGAAATCTAGACTTTATTTTTTTCTACAGGCTCTAGTACCTGTACTATAGGATGAACATAAGGGGAGGCAAACTAGTGTTCAGGCAAATCTTTGGAGATCCTGTCTCCTCTCCAGAAAGATGGTACAAGCTAAAATCCTTCTTTTCTTTAGGGACACATAGTATTGACAGATTTCGGACTCTGCAAAGAAGGAATGGAGCAAGAGGAGACGACTTCTACCTTTTGTGGCACTCCTGAGGTACTGCATGTGCTGGAGCTTTGCTGTGACCTGGGGGCTGGAAACCTTCAGACACTGGGTGCTCTGGGTCTTGGGTTTATGTGACACCTCAAAAAATTATGGGCTCTGAGGTTGTCATCCCGAAGCTGGATTTCAGATAAGGCCTTCCCTATCCAGCAGAGACAGCTCTTCCTGTAACAACACAGCAATTTTGGAGTATGAATAAGCTATTGGGGCAGGGGATCCTGCGCTTGGAAATGGCCAGGCTTGTGAAAATAGCTGTAGAGGTGGAGACAACCTTGTCCCTGGGAGCAGGATGTTTACCTGCTCTGACACCCCAGCGGTGCAGAACAAGGAGCCTGCTGGTACTGGCATGCACAGGACCTTGCTGTGCTCTCCTGTGTGTCCTTGTGCACACAGGAGCTGCAGAATGCCCTGCACAGAGGAGGGGACCAGGCTTCCCCCTGGAATGCAAACACTGCTCAGAGAGGAGGAAATGCCTTTCCTCCTGTGCATTGCAACTGGATTTTGCAAAAACCTATTTCCAGTCTGGCTTCTTGGAGGCTTTTTTGCCTGCTTCTCACTGAGCCTGGAGATTTTGGTAGCACTTCAGCCTAGGTAATGTACCTGTCCTGCTTTCTTCAGGCAGCTTGACAAAGGGTCTTTAAACACAACACCTTTCAGTGTTCAAGCTCAGCAGAAGTGGGCAGAAATTTCCCTCCTTTTTCAGTGAGGTGCCACTTACGCAGCAGCACAACATGAACCAAGCTTTGTTTTCTAGTTTTGGTGTGTGTTGGTGTTTTCCTGTTCTAGACAGAGCCTGATAGTACACAGAGGTAATTTTGTGGCAAACTGTTCTGCAGATGGCTCAAATTCTCACCTGTTGCTCCTTGATGGTGGCTCTTGGTAGTTTTGCTGCTTTGGATAGACTTACTAGGACTGAAAACTGCAGCTTTTTTTTAAATACAGGAGTTTTTTAGAGGTGTGATGTGATCACAGTGGGACAGGATTGCTGGCTGAATTGTGTCAGGTGGCAAATGCTTGTAGAAGTCCTCTCTAGGAAGAGACCCTCCTGTAGCCTGCAAGGACACTTTGAGGGCTTTGGTAGGTGTCTCTCAACCCCATTGCTCCAAAGCAACTGGAGAGTTTATTAGGTAATACTAGGAAAAGCATCTGTGTTATCCTTAATGCATTTGCTCAACTTGAGCTGCATCCAGGTTTGGGAGTAAGAAGGGCAAAACCCTTCCTTATAATTTAACTCCAGTATTTCCTTCTGACTTCCCAGTACCTGGCTCCTGAGGTGCTAAAGAAGCAGCCCTATGACAGGACAGTAGACTGGTGGTGCCTAGGAGCTGTCCTCTATGAAATGCTCTTTGGACTGGTAAGTTTGGAAATGGGCTGGTTTACTTTACATAGTGGAAATTTAATTTCAAAAGCTGTTGTGTGAGGTTGGTCTGGTGCTCACAAGGTAATTGGTAGACAAGTAAATCCTGAATTAATGATCTGGTTCAATCCTGCTACTGGCCTTTTCAGCAGAGGTGTGGTAGGTCTCCCTCATCTGCTCACTGCAGGACTGATTTTTGACCTGCAATGTGTGGCTCCTTCTGGTAGCTCATGTTTTACCTGGCTGCTTCTCCTCTCTTTCAAATTAGCCTCCTTTTTACAGCCGGGATGTATCTCAGATGTATGACAACATTCTGCATAAGCCACTACAGATCCAAGGAACCAAGACTGTGGCAGCTTGTGACATCATCCAGGGACTTCTCCACAAGGATCAGAAGAGGAGGCTGGGTGCCAAAACAGACTTTGTAGGTGGCTTTCACTATGAGCAGGAGGGAGGATGGATGGGAAATTTTCTATTTTGATCATTTCTTTCATAACAGCACAGCCTTGGAAAAACCTTCCCACATAGTCTGTCTCTTCAGCCTCCTACAAGGGACATATGGGGTTGACTTGAATATTCAAAAAGAAAGGGGTGGTGGCCAGCCAAGGACACCAGTGTGCAACAGGTCACTTCCCTTTGGGGGATTCCTGAATCAGGACCCTCATGAATTAAGGATTTTTGGGTATGGTTATGTAGTGACTTAGTCTCTCTTCAGCCACTTAAAGCTGTGACACCAGGTGCTGGAAAAGGAGGGTTGGCAGAAGACTGACACTTCCTTCCTGCTTTCTGTACAGCTCGAGATAAAGAACCACGTATTCTTCAGCCCAATAAACTGGGATGATTTGTATCACAAGAGGATTACTCCCCCATTCAACCCCAATGTGGTAAGTGGGTAATTCTGTCTGTTTTACAGAAGGAATCCTCTCCAGATGTCTCATGCTGACATTGAGGGTTCTGAAGTGTGGGTTGGGAGCTGCAGATGCAGTGGTGATGGCTCTTTTGGAAGAGCAGTTGTGTTGGACTGTCTGAACAGAAGGGCCTGGTTTGGGTCTGCTCAGCCAATGATTGTGTCTCTGCTCCTTGGCTTAGGCTGGCCCAGCTGATCTGCGACACTTTGATCCCGAGTTCACCCAAGAAGCCATCTCTGCCTCCATCACCCGCACACCTGACCTAGCAGCCAGCAGCTCCAGTGCCTCAGATGCATTTTTAGGATTTTCATATGCACCAACTGAAGAGGACATTTAAGTTTTATAAAGGCTCTGTGAAGCCATATTTTAAACAAATGGGTTTTATGTTTATTTTCTTCTTTTCTTTTTCTGTATTGTCCTTTGCTCATGGTTTAAGGAAACTGGCACTAACACACTAATTGGCTGGGATGGAACAGAGCTCTTAATTTTTGCTGTTTGGTGGATTTTATCCCTAAATGAATATTTCCCTGGCAGGGAAAGTGGGACACTATGATTTTCCCATATGTTTTGTGCTACGTGGCAGAATTGTATTCACTCTGTGGTTGTATTTATGGCTGAGGTATATGCCACCATCATTCACATCAACAATGTCTCCATAACTGGACATTTTTTTTTTTTTTGTGGAGCTATGCTCAGCTGTGTCCAATGTCTTTCCCCAAGCCCTCAACAGAAAAGGACATCACCATCACCATTAACACTGGCTCCTTCCTTTAAGGAGCTCTGTCACTCAAGCTGCTCATCCTGGGCCGAGTGAAAAACTGTTCATCAGTTATTGCTCCAAAGGCAGCTGCAGATCTGTAAATCCTGAACTGCACTGTGGCCTTTCATGCCAGCCTGATCCTCCTCAAAGTGTGTGGATCTTCCTTCTGGTCCAAGACTGGGATGTTACATGAGTAACATGAGCAATGAGGCTGTGATGGGGGAACCCCTGTGTAGCAGGAAAATCCCAGATCAAAGCAGAGGGTGGGGAAAGAGGCTGAGTTGCTTGGAAAAATAAAAATAACTTTCTAGCTGAACTCAGGGTGGGGGTGCTTTCACAGCATGTGCTTGACTTGCACCAGGCACACCAACACTTCTGTGCTGAGCACAGGGCAGTGAACAGCGAGTGGTGGCCAGGCTCCAGCACTCACCTGAAAATGCCCATCACTGATGTGGAACAGTTATTTATTCTGCCTTAATTTAAATGCTGGTGTATTCATTGAATGTCAGGGTTTTTTGTTTTTTTTTTTTTTTTTTAAGCTGTTCTGTGTTGTTGCTATGGGGAGGAGAGGGGGCTCAGAGGAACACGGGGATAAGCAAGGGGCTTTCTAAAAGTTGTGTGATGCTCATGCTGTGGGGAACCTTGTGCTGGTACAACTGTGGGTTTATTATTATTTTTTTTTAAATCAGGCTCGATCTTCTATATGCTGAAGTCATTGGAAACATGACATGGTTTATAATAAAGCTGCAAACACATCTGTGCTTCTCTGGTTGTCCTGGATAGGAGGGGGAAGGAGAGTTTTGGCTTTGTGCTGGGCCTGAGAGGACAGGGTTGTATGTAGAATGTGACTAACAGTGCTGGGTTTAAATTAAAGAGGAATTCCCAAATTTAAGCTGGGTTGAGGATCTCAAAGGCTATGGGTAGGGGTACCTGCTACTCTCCTAAGCCCAGTTCTGCATGGCCTTGGACGCTGCCAGGGCTGGAGCAGCCCCAGCTTCCCTGAGCCTCCTGTGCCTACCCACCCTCCCAGGGCAGAACCTGCAGCTGTCAGGATTGAGATTTCAGACACAAGTTAATCAAAGGCGCAGAAACGTCAAGAGGGGCTTCAAGCCAGCGGGACTGGGCCGGGCCCTGACAGGCGCGGACTGCGGCCGAGGGCCCGTGTTGAAGGAGTGAGGGAGCGCGCAGCCCTGTCCCCGCCCCGTCACACCCCCCCCCGCCCTCCGCAGTGGTACCGCCCCGCCCCTTTCCTTGGCGGGGAGTGGAGCAAACCACTGCGGCGACCTCTGTCCCCGGGGGTGGGAGGAAACGCCACCCGCGCATGCGTCCTGTGGGAGCGTTGCTAGGGCGCGCGTGGTGACGGCGGCGCGGCGGGGACGCGTTGGGGACTCGCGGGCGGCCGGAGCGCTGGCGCTTACCCGCCGCTCCCCAGAGCCCTCCGGCAGCCCCGGGGGCGCCTATGGAGAGCGGCCCGCGCAATACCATAGTGTTCAACGCCTCCAAGGGCGAGAGCTTCACGCCGGCCGGCGGCTACAAGGCCCTGCGGAAGAGGCTGCGCGGCAGCTGGAAGGTGCAGAGGTGAGGGGCGGCTCTGGGCGCGGACAGGCCCCGGTGGGGCTGGGGGCTCCGCGCTGGGCACCCGAGCGGCCCTTGGGGATGTATCCCCTGAGCTGAGGTCGCTCTCTGGCGTTGATTGCTCCCTGCTGCATCTTCTGCCGCTGTGTGTGGTCCTTCGGAGCCACAGCTCTCCTGTGGAGGAGATGGAGTGTAAGTTGGAAGGATGAAGCTCCTCGTACAGAGTTGTGGGTTTGTCTCCATTTGGAGTTTGGAACAAAAAGAAAACAGGGCTTTTGTAGATGGTGCTGTTTATCTGACCGCTGCAAAATGGCACAGCATGGAGCTGTTTGGGAGAGGAGATGAGGGAAAGGTTCTTCCCTTCCCCAGAGGGTGCTGGCACTGCCCAGGCTCCCCAGGGAATGGTGACATTCCCGAGGCTGCCAGAGCTCCAGGAGCGTTTGGACAGCGCTGCCAGGGATGCTCAGGGTGGGGGTGTTGGGGGGTCTGTGCAGGGACAGGGGCTGGGCTCCGTCATCCCAGTGGGTCCCTTCCAACTCATTCTATGAAACGTGGTCAGAACCAAAAAGAAGAAAAAGGAAAATAATAGGAAGCTCCTCAGGTGCAAAGTTTAACAGCAGCTGTGACAGCTTGCAGCAGTTCTGGATCTGCCACAGTGCCTTGTCAGAGGAGCGTTGCTATTTAGCTGCTTGACATTTGTAAGGATTATTTTTGCTCAAATTGTCAACTTCAAACCCAGATAAAAGGGTGTGAAGTGACTGAAGTGATTTGCTTTGTGTTAATTTGCCAGTCCTTTGTAAAAAAAAACCAGAAGGAAAAAGTTGTGGTTCAGGACTGTATCCAAGAATAATGTGTGTCTTTATTATCGATTCATAGCTTAAAAGATGAGATCACGTCTGAAAGACTGTTCGGGGTGAAGTTGTGGATTACAGCAGGACCAAGAGAAAAGTTCAGTGCTGATGAGGTAAGAAGTCAATAATTGTTTTCAAGATAATTATATTTTAAAATTTGCTTAAGTAGAAAAGAACAAGACAGGAGACTTTGCTGTAATGCTGCTTTAAATTAATTCATATAAATTAGAATTTGAACGCTTTTCTTATAGGATCAAATTAAATGCAAGCTGTCAAAATAATTTCTCTCATCTCAATATAACTTGCTGCAGTTTTGTGTGTAGCTTCTCATGGTTGTTTGTTTGCTTTTTTTCCTGGATCTTTGTTGATTTCTAGTTTTCTGTTCTGAAGAAATTCCTGGAGGATGGTGGGGCCATCCTGGTGATGCTGAGAGAAGGTGGAGAGTCCCGGAATGGCACAAATATTAACTTTTTGTTAGAAGAATATGGGATCATTTTCAATAATGGTAATGGGGCTCACTGCTACCTTTAGTCATCAATTTGCAGCAAAATTGAAAGAGCAGGTTCAGCCTTTGTGGATACAAGCCAAGCAAAGATACTCACAAAGTATCTTTTGATCTAAAAGATGTTTTTTCTTTAAATTTGCATGTGCATAGCAAGGTAAAATTAGAGCACAGCAAAGGCTTTCCATGGACAGAGTACATGGATAATGTAGCCATTTCTATTCCTTTTCTGTAGTTGATAGCTTTAATTTACTAAAAAAAAAATTATGGGGAAATTGCTTGATTAAAAAGCTGTTAATTAAAAACACTTGCCACACATTTTAAAGGATTGATTTCTTAATGCTCACCCTGAATAAGTGGCACATTTCTTTAGCATTCCAGTAAAATGTCATTCATTAGTTTTGTGTTGCCAATGTGGAAAAAAACCCCAAACAACCCAAGGCAAGTGTGTCTCAGAGTGCATAAAATATTTGGGGTCTTTAGTGGCTTTTCTAAACTATGCCTTTTTTGCACTAATCGAATTCAATTCATTAAATGTTTGGAAAATATATAAAAGAAATAGAGTTGTAAAAATTGATCCAGGCTGTTTTAGTTGGATCATCTTTTTGTCTCTTTTGCTTTGCAGAAGATTGTGATATGCTTAACTTATTGTATTATTTTTTTTCTAATTGCAGACATATTCCTATCCTAAATATATTCTGTCTAAAAGGAAACAGTAGTGAAGGCTGATTTAAATTCTTTTGGTAGCTAAATGCCAGCTTTGTGGTGTTAGAAGCAAACACCCAGGGAATCCAAGAGCTAAACTGATTTTTCTATGCTAAATCAAACATACAAATCAGCTAAGATGTAAATTTCTATATTTTTTTTCTTTTTTCAAGATGCTGTAGTACGAAATGTGTATTACAAGTACTACCACCCAAAAGAAGCACTAATCTCAGATGGAGTTTTGAACAGGTAAATATTTGGGGCATGTGAATCTTCACAGTGAACTCTTGTAATCTGGATTGTTTTCAGTAAGGTTTGTTTTTCAATATCTCGTAGGGGAATCAGTGAAGCTGCAAAGAAAGCAGTGCTTGAGACAGCAGATGAAGATGGAAGAGGCCATGACTCACAGTAAGTGTTTTCTCTGAGGAAACTGATGTGGAAATAGGTAGAACACCTCAGAATTGGCAGGTCTGTAATTAGCAGCACTGTGCTTATGGTGAGGTTTGCTAATGAATTTCTTATGTTCTTAGGCTTCTTAGGTTAGATCTGGAAAGGAGAATCTGTTTAGTAGAGCTTGGTAACTCCTGAAGGAGAAGGAGGGATAGGTTTGGAAAGGAATTACTGTTCCCATGACCAGATCTCTTTTTTGTGTCTAGTCTATGGGTTTCAGTTTGAGTTCTGTGAATTCTGTGAATCTGTCCCACCTGCTTGGTGCTTGCATTTGCTTATGGAATTTCTGTATCTCCTGCAGAGCTCTCACCTTTGTTTATCCTTTTGGAGCCACACTGAATGTGATGAAGCCAGCAGTGGCAGTTCTGTCCACAGGGTCTGTGTGCTTCCCACTCAACAGACCTATCCTGGCTTTCTATCAGCATGAGGTAAGAGCTGCCTGGGGCACTCCCTGCATTCCCCCTGCCCACACAAAAATTAGGAGTGGCTCTTTTGGGGGTACTTACAAACCCACCTCAGTTTTTGATCCATCTGCAAACTCCAGATGAGCCCAGTGACTCCTGACTTTTTTATGGCAAACTTCTTTGCATGGGGTTCAGAGGAGAATTAATGAGGTGGTCAGCAAAGATGACGTATTTTTTTAGTTGACTGCTGGATATCTTTAGTTCTTCAAAGTTTTGGGGGTTTTTCCACTGTTTTAGTAATTATTTATTAAATAAGATTGTCCTTAGCTTTGTAAATACAGCATATTGAATTAAAAAAGAAGCCTCTCACCTTGGAACCAGTAGATTTTTCATATGTTGTTTTACTCATCCAGCCCTGTTAACTTAAAAAATAAATTCAGAAATTTAGTCGTAAAAGAGTTACAAGCACAGGATTGATATTGTTAATGACTGTGAACAAGTTAACACAGTTTTTTACTATATAAACAAGTAATGCAATGCAATAACAATTGCCTCTAAAATTGTGATTTGGAAGGAATTTTTACTATATTGTATTCTTTATTGGTAGAGTAAAGGGGGAAAGATGGCAGCACTGGGATCTTCCCACATGTTCAATGACCAGTATTTAGATAAAGAAGAAAATGGTAAGATCATGGTAAGTTGGAGTTTTCTGGGAGTGGTTTGTTTTTTTTTGTTTTTTTTCTTTAAAAACACCCTGTTGGATCTTCACAACATTTGCAAAGCACTCCAGGCTCAGCTTGATTTTAGAGCAAGGCAGCTCTGAAGTGGATTCAGTATGGGGATTCTAAGCCAATACTAAGAGATAGTCTTTGATTTATTATCTTTATCTTTTTCATGGTATGTTATTTAATAGATTTAGTATGAATATTTAAGTGTAGTATGAAATTACTTGGATCCTCCTGAAAGTAACTGAGTTTTGCCCTTC